CGGTATGCTCTACTGCTTGGCATTTGCACCAGAAGCTCCAATATAAACATTTCAGTGTTTGGGTGTCAATCTGAAGACACTGCAGAGGATTTAAAAAGAGTTGGATGAGTCTAATGGCGATTACAAAGGTATGGCAGCTCAGAAAAATGACTCTGATCATTCTGATAAGAAAAGAACTCCTGAATTTAGTGGTGAGCTCCTCAGACTCAACACTGGGGCCTACATGTAGTGTTTTGAGGAGGTAGTGCTGCCCTGGAGCAAGAGGATGGCTGCAGAAATACCCTATGTCTGGCAACAGGACTCTGCACCATGCCACACAAGCAGGAGAACCCAGTCATGGCTCTCAGATGATTTCTGCGACCACATCAGCCCTTACATCTGGCCACCTAACTGTCCAAATTGCAACCCCCTTCATTATTATGTGTGGGGTACAGTAGAGAGAGACTAACAAAACTCCTTGTGACACAAAAGATGAACTGAAGGCAAGGGTTATGGCAGCATTCACTAACTTAAACAAGGAGGCTATCCAGAAGAGTTGCAGGAGATTCTGAAGTTGTCTGGAGGCTGTGGTTGAAGCCAATGTCTATTTTATTGAATAAATTACTCTTTAGTATTTCAAGATATTTTTGTGTAATTTTGGTAAATATATCTGTTAAAATGAGATGTCAGTGTTATTTTCATTTTTGCATAATCTAGATAATTTATCCATCATACCCTGTATATTATATGGCATTCTGGTTGCCTGATGATTACAGTAGCATGAAACTTTAGTGGTTTGAAATTTGTCTCTTTTTGAGGTGTGATGCTGTGAAGCATTTTTGCTCCATCCTGATAACCTTGGTTACTGTTTAGGTCAGTGTCTGGTTTTTGGTCTTCTTTTTTTTTAGTTTATGTTTCATTTTCTCATATAGGTTTCTTTTTTTTGCATTTTTGGTTTATTCATTGTTATTTTTTCCTTTTTATCAAGTTTTCTTTTGGTTACTTGGCATGCTTTCTGTTGACTGTATCAGCACTTTGGATTTTTGTGTAAACATGCATGCCAGCTCAGAAGTGTGATGAATGATAACTACTCGTATTTTTATTTATGTTTTTATATTTTTTTTATTCCTTGATTTTTTACTTTACTATTTTATGTAATTATATTTTTTCTTTTGCATTACTCTTTGTTTTTTTTGTATTCCATTGTTTTTGATATGTCCAGTTTTACAGCAATCAAAATTTTGTATCCCCAGAAAAACATTTATAATAAAAATTAAAATTCCTCTTTTCTAGATAAGTTATAAAATCCTTATTAATTTGACAATTTTAAAACATTAAAGATGAAAGTAATTCTAAAAAGTGGTTTTTGCAGGCATGATTAACAAACCAAAACTCTTTGTTGTTAATAAAGCCATTGTTCTGGTTGTAATTTGAATAAGGCTTGAAATAAAATTTTATATAAAATCTTTTTAAAAACATTTTGATGGAGAAAATAATATATACAATTTTCAATTAGGAAATTTAAATTTATCATTGGAACATTGAATGTTAGCAGTTGAAAGATGAATTAGAAAATCTCTGAATATCAAAAGATAAATAATTTTATACATTTATCATTACTTTTTGATCCTACATAGAATTATTTTAGTTTCTGTATTTTTGAAATGTGATTAATTCATTAGCAAAAATCTTATATAACATCATGTTATACCACTTAGTAGGTGCTTATGTTGTAGATCATTACTAATAGAGGACATTTTTCTGCATGCCCACTCAAACAAGATGTGATATGAAGTTGAGTTTAAAATGAGATGGGGCTAGAGGCAAAAATTGCTCAAGCCTCTTCAGCACTTTCACTTTTGGGGATGTCTCAATGATCTAGCCCCTTCCAAAAGGGAAAAATATTAAATAGCTTATTTATTTTTAGTCCAATAATACTAGTAAATGAGTGTGATCTTCATTGGGTCCTGTAACATAATTTGTACATTGTAGATATTACCTGTCTTACCTAATATTATAATGGATACTACCTGCCTTGCTTGGTGTAGTCTTATTGTTTTTTTAAACATGTTGTGTGCAGTTTTAGAGAGAAAACTGAACTGATTATTTATTATTGAATGTTAGCCTAATCAAATAGGATCATTCTTCTTGTTAGGATTAGTTTGATAATAAATTGAGTAAGTCTTGGAAATTTACCACTGAGTTTATTTGCTTTACAGGTTCCTAATACACATGGCTTTGTGCCAAATCTAAGTAATGCTTAACTATTACTAGACATTGCTATTTCCATTAAAAATATTCTGGTAAGCTAGATTCCTTAGTTCCGCTAGTTCTAACTTTTACAGCTAATCAAATCATCCTCATTCTCTTTGTATTCCATTGGTAAGAAGGAAGTTCCATTTGAACAGCTTTTTCCCAAGGGCCATTGCTTTGTGGAACATATTCCTGAGACAGTGCTTCTTTGAGCACTACAATCTTAATCTCTTAAACTCTAGGGTTAACCATTATCTATCCTACATATCCTCATAAACTGCACCTATCTCTTAAAACAATTTCATTCAGTAACTCTCTACATTGAGTGGCTCTTGGACCTTGTATTGGGTAAACAATAGTTGAAATAAATCTGTTTGTTTTTTTTTTTCAAGAAAGAATTTCTAAGCTTCATGTTAGAGGATGTTAAGTTAGATAGACTTGTATTTAAAAAACACTATTTTTCTTTTATGTGACATGTGGTTCTCCCCAACTTCTTGTCTTTTATAGCTATAAGTAACTTTTTATTCTTTCTCATCCCTCTTTGTACTTCTTCTGCTAACAATCCATACAAACTTATTAAGTAGGTTACTTGCTGTTTTCCCTTGCTTCTCTTGCCTTCAGTATATCCTGTGAGTGTTATATTCTCTAGGCCCTCCTTCCTCACTATGTGTTTTAGTAATTTCAATTGTCTTTTTATAATTGTAAGTATAAGTTGGCTTGTAATTGCTATTTTTTAAAAGAATTTCTAGTCGTTCACATATTCTGTCCATGTTATTCTTAGCATTTATCAGTAGAACCACATTTCTATTTCTTTAAGTCTCTTCCTCATCTCTGGAGAGATTGTTCAGCATTCAGTACTATATAAGAGGATAGATATGACATAGCAGTTCCGGATTCTTCTTCATTTCTATTGATAGTTTTAATACTTTGCTTAGTTTTTGGAAGACATCTTTTGCTATTCCGATATGCCTTTGCAATTCTGTGTCACATTCTTTTCATTGTTTTTTACTACACTACCCAGATAATTAAATTTCTGTGCCTACCAAATTTTGATGTCCCTCAATGCATAGTTCACACCTTGGACATGCCTCCTTTGCTGATGACCATGTATTTTGTTTTGTTACAGAAGACAAGACGTGGTTGGTTAGTCTTTTCTTCTTGCTTAATAAATTCATTAATATTTATCATTAGATACGCAGTATCTAATTTTACTTTTTCTTTGTTTAGTACCATGTCCCTTCAGTATGTATGCAATCATGGCTCTTCATAGATTCCTCTTTGTTATTAGTGAATTGCCAATCATTCTTGGGAAAGATAGTGGAGTAGTTTCTCATTGCTTTTTCCATGGTTTAGAATTCACAGTTTTTCTTTTCTCAGACTGGTTGTCACCCAGAGATAGAGAGCCTAGTATACCCTGGTATTTAACCCATAGCTGTGAGAGAGAGCAGATAGATTCATGCCTTTTTAAAAGACACCCATGTGAATGGGAATGCAACAAACCAGCCTGGAATTTGAATGCAGCTCCACCTCGATTTTAAAATAACAAAAAGATTATTTATTTTTTTGTCTGCCAAGATCAAATGAACAAAGAATTATTAACATTATTCTGAAAGCAATTATATTTTTTCAATGGTTTTATTTTCTAATTGGACAACATACTTCACTAAATTTTTATAATAAAAATGGGACAACTACATGACTATGTTTGATAATTATTTAATGTCATTTAAAAATACAGACTTAGCACCATATAACTGAAATCAGCAGTTATTAAAATTTAATGTTTAATGTATTTAATTAAATGTTAGGCTTTCTTATAGAACATCATTAAAATACATAAATTGTTTAAAAATTCTGAAAATATTTAGTTTTATGAAATGCAAAATGTCTTTGATTCAGGAAATGATCCAACCTGAACTAGACAATGATCCAAGCTAACTCAGAAAATAACCTGGTTTAAAAAATGATCTGGTTTAGAAAAATCCTGAAATGATTTGATTTGATTCAGAATATCATCTGGACTGGAAAATAATTTGTTTAAAAAAACAAAAAAATTACCTGATCTAGATAATGTATTTTTTTTTTTTTTTGAAAAATTACTTCATTATATCAAGTATTGATCATAGGACAACATATTTTGAATGAATGTACATGTTTGCATGAAATCATCAGTAGATTGGTTGACATCTCAGATAATTACAAGGTATTAGGTGAAAAAAACAATAAAATTATTTGTTGACAGTCACAATTCATATATAGTTAATAGATCAAAGGAAACAGAACTGATAGTTTCTTTTATCTGTGTATTTGACTGTCAAGCATGCACTGAATTACACTATTGAAAGAATCACGTTTGTCAAAATATTTTTCATTTATTTTTGCTCTTGCTAAATGTTTCATCGACTTCAAGAGAAAAAAGACAAAATCATCTTTAAACAAACATGAACAATAAAGATCATTTTAAGTTTATATCAGTATCAAAATATATTTGATAAACTTAACTGGCCAAGGGAAATGCTTCATCCAAGCTGTTTGAATCCATTCAATTTGTGCTATCAAATATTAATTTCAATGAACAGAATATCGCAACATTTCATTTGTAACAAAAGGCTTTCAGAGTTGGTTTGTATTTTTAAATGTAAATCCATTTCTATTGGAACAGAAAATTGAAGTGGCAAGCTTTCAAATTTGCACATGAAGCATTCTAAGTGGAAACTAAGGACAAGCAATCTGTATTACAAAAAAAATAATGTATAAGAATAAATTACCTTTTCATTATAGAGTCGCCTTGACGTGTCAAATGACTGTATAAGTGTGGTTGTATGACCTAAGAATAGTGCATAACAAGTAGCACCACTCAACATACTGAGTATGGTTAGCCAGGTGTCTGTCATATTTTGAGGTGGGAACCGGCCATAACCGATACACAGCATGTGTGACAAAGCTTTGAACAGAGCCCATGTATATTGCTCTGCCCAATGGGCTTCCTGAAAAACATACAATGAAACTATTCATTAGATATTAACTGAACATTAGAAATAAAAATGATTTATAATTATTCACAACAATGCATATGAACAGATGGTTGTTAACAGATGCTCATGCTGATTCTAAAAGAAATGTAGAAAAAGAAAACATTTGAAGCAGCAAGAATTTTGGGATTGTTTTTTTTAGTTTTGCTACAGTGGAAACTGAATATTAGAAAAAGGTTTTCTCTGGATAATGAACTTTTATGTTGGTTAAATTTTGGTCACAGTTTAATACTGTGATTACTTAAATAATTTAAAAATAAAGATTTAAATTTTACAAGTTATAAATGCTTTTTAAAAAATGTTAATAATTTCTATCATAAATGTTTCATTTTGCAATCTAAATTTAACTTACAGAATACTGTTTGTTGCTATCAAAAATATTTGGAAGCAAAATATAATACTAAATAAATGGAATCATTTTGTATAAGTTACTTTTAAGTAAATTGAAGATTTAATTGAAACCACATTATGAGTAAAAGCTGTGGATTTAATGTTTATGTTTTCAGCATAGGTAACCATTAGAAGCTTGGGAGCTTTAATGACTTGCTTACTCATTTATTGTTGTATATATCTGAAGAGAATGATAGCACATTCTGAAATGAAAAATATAAGAGATACTCAATCCAAAAATAATAGCTGCTTTATTTCATTGTTAGACATTTACATGATAAAATACAAATACAGAAAACATTTTGAAAGATTGAAATATTTGCTACACGACAAATTTGAAAAATTTGTAAAGCACTTAACATGTCATTTGAAAAAGTAAAGATTGCAGACAAACTGATTTTGATAAATTTTCTTTTTATGCTGCTTCTGCAAAAAGAGTAAATAACAATGAAATTGTTTTCATAAGAATTTTTTATTAGAATACAAAAAGTAAATATGTATCTAAAAATGAATATCATTAAATTAGAAAGAATGATGAAAATATTGATTGACTGTACTATTGTGGGATAACTGTGACATTTTTGTAGGTCTGGTACCTATTGATGTGTTACCTATTACTACATAGAGTCTTATGAAATTCTAATTTTTTTTGTTTTTATTGAATCTTATTTTGATAAAGAGGCCATAAAATGTCATTTTTTTTTTACTACATTTGAGAAGTGATAACTAGAAAAAAAAGACAAAAGATGTAAATAAAAATCAAGAAGATTGAAAGAAAATCAAGAAACAAATCAGTATCACTGAAAAAAGTAACAACTGATTAAACGTTTGTTTCCAGAGTGAACATGGCAGGAATTTTATGTACATACACTATATATTCCATTATTTATCAAAATTTTCAATCACCCTACATATGCGAATTGAAACTTTTATCAATGTTATTCAACTAATCAAACAAATAAATAAAAAGTGATGTATTTACTTTGCATAATCAGTATTGAGTATTTGAAATAATGATTAAAACAAAGTTTTCATACATTAATTGTATTGAAAAAATAAGTTGTTTATAATCTTGATTTAAAAAAATATCCTTTAAATTGAATAATTTAATAGTATCATTATTATTCATAAAATAAAGATAATTAGTTTTTAATATCTATATTAAAAAATAAAAATATCTGAAAAAAATTATATGTTTCTGTATTTCTGACAAGAGTTGTAGCATAAATAATCAGTAAAAATTAGTTAAAATGTAAGGAAAAGTGATTCCTAACTTCAAACTTTTTTTACACACACACACACACACACACACACACACAAAGTTGCGATGGGTAAATTGTCGCCATTTTATATTTTTATTTTCATGCATGTGCATTGTTCGTTTTTGATTTTGTTGATTGCATAGTATAGTATGTTCAGTTGGGCACTGTCTGCGAGGAAAAAGAGCTCCATAACGCAATTCACTTTGCCAGAAATTTGGAAACACCATTTGCACCAGAAGCTCCAATCCAAACATTTCAGAGTGTTTGGGTGTTAATCTGAGAATAGTGCAAAGAGTTGGATGGGTCTAATGGTGATTATGAAGGTGTTTGGAGTGATCACTAGTGATGGCAACATTATACCTCCATTAATCTTCCCACATGGCCTCAGACTCAACATGGAGGCCTACATCAAGTACCTTCAGGAAGTAGTTCTACCCTGGGTCAAGAGGGTGCCTGCTGGAAGACCCTATGTCTGGCAATAGGACTCTGCACCATGCCACACAAGCAGGAGAACCCAGTCATGGCTCTCAGATGATTTCTGCGACCACATCAGCCCTTAGATGAACTGAAGGCACGGATTATGGCAGCATTCACCAATGTAAATAAAGAAACTGTTCAGAAGAGTTGCAGGAGATTCTGAAGTTGTCTGGAGGCTGTGGTGTAAAATCAATGGTAATGTTTATTGAATAAATTTACTCTTTAGTATTTCAAGATATTTTTGTGTAATTTGGTAAATATATCTGTTAAAATGAGATGTCAGTGTTATTTTCCTTTTTGTATAATTTAGATAACAATTTATCCATTGCATCCTGTATATGAATGAAAATAATATACAGGGTGTGATGGTTTTGTGTAATTTTGGTAAATATATGTTAAATGAGATGTCAATGTTATTTCCATTTTTGCATAATTTAGATGATAAGTTATCCATCACACCCTATATATTATTTTCATTCATCTAAATTATGCAAAAATGAAAATAACACTGACATCTCATTTTAACATATATTTACCAAAATTACACAAAAATATCTTGAAATATTTGATGTAGGCCTGTGTGTTGAGTCTGTGGCCCTAATAGAGGCATGACATCGCCATCACTAGTGATCACTTCAAACACCTTCGTAATCATCATTACACACACTCTGAAATGTTTGTATTGGAGTTTCCGATGCAATTGCCAAACAGTACAGCATGCTGTTTCCAAATTTCTGTCAGAATGAATTGCATCATGGTGCTCTTTTTCTCACAAATGGTGCCCAACTGACCCTACTACACTGTGTAATCAACAAAATCAAAACAAACAATGTGCACATGCAAAATTAAAAATACAAAATGATGACAATTTACCTATTGCACCCTGTATAAATTTTTATATACCAAAACAATGTTAGGAAAATTAATGACAAAGTGAAAAAAATTTTTTCATGTGATGCATTTTGTCCAGAGTGTTTATGTTGATGTAACTACATACATATGAAGTAGAGGGTATACTGAAATTTTAGACTTTTAAATTACATTTGTTTTTGTTTAATATGTGTTTGGGTATATAGTCTAGCCAATTTCATTTAGTTTCTTTTTGTTATTAAGTATGTAACATTGTGATAATAGAAGATCTCTCAATAAAGGTGAAATGTTTTAAGAACCTGGATGTAAATTTACTGTGAATTATCTAGCAATTAAAGCACTTTCTATACATTTTTATCTTAGTAAATTGCTTTCTAAAAGAGAAAGCAATCCAGGTAGCATTTTTTAAAACAAAATTATGGTCAAAAACTAATGCATTGAGTGCATTGTTTTGTAAAAGATCCCTCTTGTGTTCTTATAATCTTTTATTTAAATTTCTCAAGGTTTCTCCTATGTATTCCTTGTGGCAATTATTGCAGCTGATGAAATAAATTCCTTTTTTAAGTTTTAGACTATTATTTTATTTATGTCTTTTTGTTTTAGAAGTAGTTGTAACAAATTTTATGTTAAGCTTAGATAAATTCTTTTGAATTGTAGTTGTGATAGAGTTGGTAGGTAGAATAATATATTTTGATTTGTTCATTTTAGGATGGTCCACTCTCTTTTTTTTTAAATATTTAATGAACCTTTTGTTTCATATTGAATATGGAATAATTAGAGTACTGGAGGAGCTTAAAAGTATTTTCAATGTATTTCTCCTCTTCATATAAATATTGAGGGATACAAATTCTGAATGCTCTTAAATAAAATCTGATAATTATTCTGAATTTCATTTTATTGGTATAGTGAGAATAGAAATTTATGAGATCATTTTTATTTGTTGATTTGTGATGGACACTTAGTTTTAGGTTATTGTCAGTATGGTGTAACATGATATCTTGGAAAGGTAAAGCGTTATTTGTTTTTGTTTTGTAAGTGTATTGTATATTTGACTTTGTTTAGTTTATCTATAAGGTCAAGTAATGTAGTTTTGCAGGGATATATTAAGTGTCATCACTATATCAGAAATATTTTGATTATTTTGGTAAAATATCTTGGAAAAGACCAGACTCAAGAAATTCTAAAGAAATACACACTAAAACTCCACTCAGAAGTGAACCCATTGGTAATCCAATTTTTTGTTTATTAAAATTATTGTTAAATGTGAAGTAGCATTGATTGGTGATGAGTTGGTAGATTTTTATAATTTTAGCTATGAGTAGGAAGAGGTTTATTTTTAGCAAGACTAAAATTTATTTTACTCAAGCACTTTAAAACAAATATTTAAATTTAAAAGTTTCTTTGTGTACATGTGTAGTTGCATCAATATAAACATTACTTTAGTTTGATGAAGTCTTAAAAGACAAAATGTGTTACATGAAAATTTTGTTCACTTTGTCATTAATTTTTCTAATAAATACACACACACACACACACACACACACACACACACACACACACACACACACACACATATATAATATTTAATAAATTTCCAATTTTTTTAAATATGTTAAACTAACATTAAATATTTATCTAAGTGATACTTCTAAAATAACCCTACACAGAAGCCACCAATCTGCCACTGGGTGGTATGCCACTAGCATTTACTGCTGGTGGCCCGCTGTTTGACCACTGACGTGTTCCTCTCAGCAATGTTAACACTGGTGGGCTGCTAGCAGCCCATCAGTGGCCTGCTGGTGGCTGCCACTACAGGACTTCTGGCGTTGCCATTGGAGGTCTGCCAGCAGGCCACTAGCAGCATGCATGTAGGGAATCTGATATATGATAATCGCATATTGAACTGGATTTTTTTAAACATCATACTAATTTATTTATGTTTGAATTGTTAACTCCAGCTGAAAAAAAGCTTACAAGTTTTATTAGGTAATGACAATGTTCATAAGAGATATATTCCTGTAAAAAAAAGTATTTAATTTTAATATATTAAACCAAACATTGAACTACAGACGAAAATTAATTTCAAATATTGTTCTTATTTTCATTTTGTATGCAATGTTTTTAGCTGAAGATATCTGATGATTTAATTAAAAAATAAGATTTCATTTAATTTCAGGAAAATATGAAAAGTTAAGAAAATATCATGTATCTGCAAAAATCAGAAAATTTTGTCATTCAAATATTGCCTCAGATAGATTTAGTTGGTAATAACAGTATTTAATACTTTTGCATCTGGAATAGATAATTTTGTCCAGCTATTTTAATTTTAATTTTTTTTCCAACCAGTTCTCTGTTATCACCCACTTCCAGATGCAAGAGTACGCAACCACTGATCATATATTATTGTCTTAATAAAGTTATTATTGCTTCAAATAAATTTTTCCCACAATTAATTATGTGTATATTTAAGTAACTTACATGAATTATTATATATTTAGGCATTATTGGTAATCTACTCTGGTAATCAAGTGAAATAATATATGATACAAAATGTGTTGCTTAAAAAGCTATTTGCTTATCTCTTAACAGTGTTTCTATTTTGCTCTAAAATCACAAACTTTGATAAAAAATCTGAAAAATGTTTCTGAATAAAACATTTTTCAAAATAATTCCTATATAGTCTTAATTAACAAATTCTAAAATCAAATGCAGTCAGTTAGTAATTCCACCAAAAGACATAGCCATAATATTTGAATTATTAGTTTATTTCTTACTAATAGGAAAAATTATTCAGCTGAATTTGTGGCTGTTCGAAACAAGAGGGAATAAATCCAAAAGAAATTCGACTGCTTTCGTAGTTATCTCCTCTTACCATATCAACAATCTACAAGCGAAATTAAAACAGATTTTACGTTCTTAACAAGCCGGATACATTAAAAAAAAATTAAAAAAATGGAAGAATTCTGACGAAACAAATGGCTAAATCATATTCCAAAGAAAATGTTTATTTATCTAACTTTAAACTTTGCAATATTTTCCACATTTAAGGAATTATTTGGAATGTTGTAATTGCAGCAACTTGCTTTATGGATATTGTAGCAATTGTTATTGACACGGAAAGTTAAATTGGTATGTTCAGTTCAATTTCTAATTGATTCTCTTTCGTTCACTTTGTTCAATGCCCTTGGAAAAGTTGTGAATCCATTTTCTCCCATCAATGGATTAAATAGCAGGGTAAACTGTGTGGCAGCCAATCTGGGAAAACACTGAATTTCAAACTCCTATGAATAATAGGGCAGACTGAATTCTTTAGCCTTAGCTGTGCAATCAATGTGGGAGAAGGAAAACTTTGAATACAAAACCAGCTTGAAGAGGGATGGACTCTGTCTTGTTGGAGACATGCTCACTGTTGCTATTTTTACAGTACATATGGTGTCCCTAAGACCCTAATGTGTTTTGGGTTTAGTGATCATGACTTTTGTAAAATGGAGACACATTGGGTTTTATAGTTAATTTTAAAAGAAATGATTGCTACAGATTAATGTAGATGAAGCAAAAATGAAATATACAGTATGAAACCTTCAAAGAGATATTTGAATTAAAAGTTAGAAATATCAGATTTAATCGTTATTTAAATTTAATGCAAGGCAAAAAATCTGCTTTACAAATGGATTAAAAAAAGCAAATGGATTAAATTGTATCAAGATATTTAGTTAAGTTTGAGTGAAGGCTGTTGGATTGATGTGTTCAATATGAGGTAGTAGGTGAAATAAAGAAACCATTTTTTTAATAAAACCTAATTCCTTTCAACCAAGCAGACTTAATTTCAATAACATCGACTCTTGACAAAGATTCATTGACCTTTATTCTCAACTTTATCTTGAAATTATTCCTCCTTCTTACACACTGTATCTCTTTGGGTGTAATCAATCATGGCTCTCCACAACTTCTGTAAACTGTGTTACCATGAATGTTTTGGGGAAAAATACTGTAACAGTTTCCCATTGTCTTTTTCTATAGAGGACATGTCCCTTCAGGATGTGGGCAATCATAGTTTTCTACAACTTCCTGCCTTTAAGCAATTTTTGTCATTTTACTCTCCCTCTTTGTCCTTATTCTGCTATCTGTACACAGAATTGAGCAGGTTACTCACTGTTTCCTCTTGTTTCTCTTGTCTTTAATGTTCCATTGAGTGTTATATTTTCCAGGCTCTCTTTCTTCCCTATGTGTCCCAGAAATTTCAGCCATCTCTTTCTGACTAAGTATAAGTTTCTTTGTAGTTACTATTTTCCTTAAAACTTGTTTTCTTCAGGGTTTTGAATTCAGAGTTGATGTTCTAGACCGGTTGTCAACCAAGGCTAGAGAATTCAGTCTGTTCTGCAAAATTACTATAACAAAAAGAAAAATAATATTCTGTTTGTAGGGTGATTCTCTTACGTTCTATTTTTAAATTGATTAGAATCAGGGATTTTTCTGCTTTTGTAAATTTGCTTTTATTTTAAATTCATTAAATTCCTTCAATTACTCGTTCTGTTCTTTGTTAATCTATTAAGTAAAATATTTGTTAGTTTCTTTTAAAAACACTTTTCTTTTATGTTCATCATTTATAAACATTTACTTGTTTTGGTTAGGAAATAGTTTTATCATATTCAAGCATTTTCTTTCAAGACATTTTTGCTATATCACTAAATAAAAACATGCATGGGGACTTGATTTTGAGCATAATTTTAAACAATGCAGTGCAAAATCCATGTTGGCAGATGTAGCCCCATTTTCACATAATAATGTGTTTTAAAGTTCAAAAAAACAAAACAAAAAACAATGGAACAACTTTACTAGTAAATATGAGATTGCGATAATTTCTAGATTTACTTTTATTTTTAAATAAATTTAAAAATAAAAGTATTTTATAGAATAAAACATCTGTTATTTATGTGTTATTAATTAATTTATAAACTATTATATAAATAGCTTTTCATTTAAATTTTAATTGTAAATATTATTTAAATCCAAATCTTCGTGGCATCAGTATAATATTTTTTTTTTCCTAATTTGTGACCATTTTACTTAAAGTCCATGTTTTCTTGGTTTCAGATGAAAAATTGGAAATTTATCAAGATATTTCTGTGAAATTGTACTTTTCCAAAATAGTTTGGATATATGGAAAAAGTGTCCGTTTAAACTGACACATTTTTTCTATATATTGTGATCATTTTGTTAAAAGCTTATTTTATTTATTTATTTTTTTTTTTCAGATGAAAACTGGGAAATTTTAAACCTAATTTCAATGAAATCTTTGCTTTGCAAAATTATGGTTTAGATATATGGAAAAAAAAACAGGATATGGGTTAAATACTGAGCTTTTGTGTTTTTATTGATATTACAATTAACAGTAAATACACATATACAAGGGGGAATATTATTATCATTTGTAAAATTATCTGAATTTATTAAGTTTCTAGATTTATATGGTGAACTATTAAGGTTTGCCATTCATTTCTTTTAGGCTAAAATGGTTAAATTTAGATAAAAAAAAAGAATTGAATTCACTGATCCTGCTTTCTTTTAGTCAATTTTTTTTTTAAATTAAGCTGCAAAGTAATAAAAAGAAATTCTCTTTATTTATCACTGTAGACTTTTGTTAAAAATTTACCTGACCTGCAATTCTTCAATGGACACCCAGCAATCTTGGGGGAAATCTTGCAACATGGGCACGAGGAACTGCAGACAACCGTTCCAGTGGCCGAGCAGGAACATTAAGCATATTAAGTTGAATATTCGCATAAACTTGCCAGCCAGTGCTAAGAACTGAAATGAGAAGAGAAAGCTATTTAAACAAGTTTTTAAATGGTATTTATTGTCAGTGCCTAAAATGAAATCACATTTGCCAGAAAAGCTACCACAGCAAATGTAGAAAACTGGAGCAATTACAGAAGTAATGAAAGACATGCTTTAATGGAAATGACCCTCAAAAATATATATACTCATGCAACCCATACATTGAGTGTAGAATGAGAAAAGGAAATGGGTGGGAGGGGGGAAACAATGGAAAAAGAAAAACCACTGGTACATCGTCTATGCATCATAATAAGTATCTCATCTGCAAGGAAGAAATTTTGACAAACATTTTTTCTTTTAAATTTTCCTTTTTGATTTAATTGTCGGATTATTTATTCTCTTAATCTCTGATGTATTTGAGTCACAGTCAGTGATAATTAGCTGATCATTAATTACTTGAGTAAAAAGATTTAGTTTTTCCATTCTGGGGATTTTCTATTTTCATTTATTTCTGGAAAGGCTTATGGGAAATAATTATGAAAATATAGTAAATAGTGGTATAAAAAAATTTGATAAATTTTGGTTGGGAAAAATATAAAGATTTAAGTAAAATAGATAATATTTTGATTTTGTTCAGGAAACAGAATTAGATTTTTCAATTTAGATACTATATTTAATTAATTTATTCAATTTGTTAGAAAATATTCAATACAGGGTAGGAGAAAATTGTGATTTGTGCATTAGAAAATATCCTTGATAAAATACAAAACCTTAAATAAAATGAAGACAGAAGACAAAAATCTGTTGACGATGGAAAGTCAAAATGAAAAAAAAATTGTTCAAGACTTGTGTATATACTTCTTCATTGTTACATTAATAAAAAGATAACATTGAAGAGAGCTTTGTGTGGTTTAAGTGCAAGCGTAGAAAAAGATTTTGGAAAGAAAAATGGCACAAGCCAAAAAGAAGTGGAAGCAAATTGAGATTGGAATAGAATAATATTTAAGTATAGAGTTGGAGGAAAAGATGAGGAAAAATAGATTCAATGAATTTTGTATATGATTTTGAATTATAAGTTTATTTTTTTTATTTTTTAAGAATCTTTAGAAATTGGTACAAAATTTAGCAATATACATGAGTTTATGCAAATGATTGTTTAAACATTTGAATTGATTCATAATATGTTGTAAGAAAAAGTAATCTTTTTTTAATGGAAATCTAAATAGAATGAAGTAAAAAAAAAAAAAAAGGAAAAAATGTCTATTCTACTATTCCTCATATTTTCTCATTTGATGAGTAATCTTACTTTTTTTTTTCTTTGATTGTTGCTGTTGCTGTTGTTCTTCTGGCAAATGTTTGCAAGCTGTCAATAACAATCAAAACATCTAAACAACTGCTAAAACTAGCTACAAGCAATGTACTCTGTCTTCATTCACAAAAACATTGTTAGAATTGAGAAGTTTTAGATAAAAATGTGTTGGATTAATGTTTAGAGAGTTTTCCAAAATTTTATTATTATTTCATAGAATATCATACTCATCAGTTATGGGGAATATATCAAAAGGCTTACAAAAAAAAAAGAGATTTGACAGCTTGGATATAGAGAGTTCTACCCACTGATGTTCTCTTGCAATTGCACAGCAATTTATTTATAAACCTAACTAATTGTTTAATAATAAATATTTCTTTTCAAAATATGATCGAACTTTGAATAATATTAAACATACAATAAATTACTATTTTATTTAAACTAAAATGCAGTTTATGAAAAAAATTGAGATTAATAATTATTAATAATCTTAAAAATCATTAGTATTATTTTTCCTAAAGAACAAATCAAAAAAAATATATTCTGTTAAAGTGAACTAAAGGAAATGCTCATCTACTTTTACTTTAAGTCTTCATTTACTTTTACTTTAAGTCTTCATTGTTAGAATAAAATCAAGGATATTTTTTTAATTCTAATAAAGTATATATATTTTTAAAGTAACAGAAGACAAAACTCTAGGTCAATTTTAAATATTTTTTATATTACTCCATTCACCCATCTTCAAAGATAGTCATATCATTTACAAGGTAGAGATAAAACTGCTTAAAACTACTGACAATGTAAGTAAAAAAAGAAAATTGAAGAAGAAATGTTATTTTGGATTGCTAGAATTTTATTCTCTATGAAATCAGCAATTTGCTAAAATATATTTCCATACAAATGAATTCAGTATTAAAAGATTACTTATAATATCCTTAATAAAATTAGCTTTAGTACAAGAAAAAAGTACAACAGAAAAAATTTATTTTTGAAGTATGAAGTAAACATTTAGGATTAATTTCTATTAAGCAATACAGAGTATTAAGTTATTTTCTCTGGATGTGAATGTAAAGGGATATTTAATGTGGACTTGTAGGCGTAAAGGGATATTTAATATGTATAGATAATCTGATAATAATAACAGATAATCTATGGTAAATATTTCATGCCACATTTAATATTTATAAAACTTTAGCTGACATAGTAGAGTGTCAAATTAAACGTTTTCATTTTTTGTGATGCAATTGAGTCCCACTTTGAAATATAGAAATTTCCAAGTGATGAAGGATACATATCTATCTCAATGACATTGTAATATTGGTTACTAAAAAACAATGGAGATAAATTCTTATCTCTGAAGCTGTTTTTTTGCACTGCTCAATACGGGTGGAACAGTGGTTAGCATAAAAATACATATTAAGATTTGAATTCTGTAATAAATGCAGATTTGAGTCCAAATAACAATAAGTAAATGGTGACACTCAGTGATTTAGAGACATTTCAGCCCAATGTTACAACTTACTGGATACTGGCCCAACTAGAGCCCTACTGAGTTTAAAATATATACTGAGGTTTGAGCCTCAGGCAGTCATCCCACCAGGCAGTATCTTTGGTTTTGGTAGTGGGTTAATGTTAATTCCTGACACCTGAATTGTCTCCATATGGGGATAGTGAAGAGAGAGATTAAGCAGTTTTTGTCTCTAATCCCCTGCAAGTGTAGAACTCCCACTTTAAACTCTGCTTTGTACCATATTTTATTTAAGTGGGCATATAGATGAATATCTACAAATTATCATTTGGCACATAATATTTTGATGTGAACTTTCATAGATTTAGTTTGCATGCAATGTAGGTTAATAATGTTGGTGTTAGAAAATGGAAAAAATACTATGGAAATGCTTATTATCAGTCATTGGTTTTATTGCTTCACAATGACTTCAAGATAGCTATTAAGTTCTGATGGATTTCTAATGAAATTTCATTAAAATAAAATTTGAAGTAGTAGTCAAAGAAAGGGCCTTTTTATTTTTGCCTTATCACTTTGTTAATTGCAATTAGCTTACAATTATATTGGCCCTTTGTGTAAATGCCCTTTAATTTTACAGTTTGTAACAGAATGGATCTGTTAGAAAATGTAAAGAGGAAAACAAAGAAATGCAAGAGGATTAATGTTTTAATTTCTTATATATAATTTGAATCTAGAACTCTATACTGTATGGTGACTGGCAGAGTTATGCCTCGCACAATCTATAAACCATGTGTCATCACTCCTTGCACAGGCACTCTATATAACAGCCACTGAGGATTTAGGGGAAAGTGAAGGAAGTGGGGAAACTAACCCTTTTGTTTATAGCTAGAGTTTTAGGTTATTTATAGTCCTGATCTTTGGTTTGCTTATTTTTAATAAATTTATTTATTATTTTTATTTATTTTGATTATAAATTTTGGTATTTGAAATAAAGTTTAGATTTAAACTATGTTATTTGGTCTTATGAGTTGTGATGTAATTGTAGGTAGCATAGTAGTGATTTGTTTTCATATTTGCATTTGAAGTTGAACTCCAATCTTTTGTTTAGGAGTTTTTATTATTCTGGAAAGGTGATTATTATTATTATTTTTCTTTTAGGCAAAGAGTACTTTGTTTTGAAGTGTTGTTTTACTAGCACTGTTTTTTTAAATTTTCTACATTATTTTTGGCACATATATAATTATATTGTTTATACTTTATTGTTTATACTTTATTTTATTTATTTTTGTCAAATTGAATAAAAATGAGTGGGTAGAACTATTTAAGAATTGGTTAAAGAATTAAAAAGCTAAGTAAAAACTGTAATGTTCTTTAAAGCAATCATTATTTGATCTTAATGCATTTGCAGATATAAACAATGTGGATATAGAAATCAACACTGCTTTGTAACTGATAGTTTCACACCATCAGCAATTATCACACCAAACAGTGTTGATTTCTATGTGCACACTGTTTATCTATCTGTGTTAAGATAATTCGGAAAAAAAGAATTTCATCAGAAATAGAATTTTATTTCACAAGACCAAATTCTACTTTAGCAAGATGATATATGATTCATATTAAGCATTTAAACATTTGATTGTTACTTTATCTGTATAATTACAGAAATTAGATTTTTAATTTCAACAGTTTTCATTTATTATTTTCTATAGCTAGATATAATGGAGGTTTCCTCTTAATGCTTTGACAGTCAATATGTAATGATACCAAAAATTGAAGAAAAATGGAAGATTGTTGTGGTTTAAAAGCTTGTGAAGTCTGATTGATTTTAGAAAATCCATTTTTACAAAGGTAGATCAATAAATCCATAGCCTGAATTTTGATCTGAAATTTTCTCTGTATAATATTTGATCTATGTGATTAATATTCACTGTAGAATGAAGGGCATTGTCAATTAAAGAAGTTATGTTGAAAAGTAACTATTTATTGTATTCATCATTTGGCTATGGAATTATTGATATAGCTCTATGTATGATTTTGCAATAAATAATTCTTAATTCTTTAGAAGAGTTTAAAATATGATTTTATGTTGAAAATAAAATTAAATGCTATTTTAAATAATACCTTCCCTACATGCAAGCTGCTAGTGGCCCACTCATGGGCTGCCGATGGCAACACCAGTGGTCCTCTGGTGGCAGCCAC